TAAGGCCACCAGGTCTGGTACGTAACCCGCGGTCGACTACATGGGAGACCAGCGACATAGCCAATACACTAACTGCTGGTCCCTCCATCAACTTTATGAAAAGCATTAATGATTTTACCAGTATTTTCACCCAACATCATCATGAATTTGAAGTTTATTCTTTTTTTTCTTTTTAGAATTATCCTAACTGCTGGTCCCTCCATCAACTTTATGAAAAGCATTAATGATTTTACCAGTATTTTCACCCAACATCATCATGAATTTGAAGTTTATTCTTGTTTTTCTTTTTAGAATTATCTAATTTTACTTTATTTATTCATTTATTTATTTTAATTTGGCCAGAGAGACGCACAGAGTTAGAGAAGGAAAGGGAGAAGGGAAACTACCAGTTCCGGGACTTGAACTGTGTTGGCCATGTGGGAGTGTCCAGTGCCTTAACCACCACGTTACCTGCTGGCCCCTGAAGTTTATTCTTAAATTTTAGCAGAATTCATATTGTTCTGATAGGGGCCCTTTTCAAAGTGATGTCTGACTATCTTAGTGTCTCACACTAGATCCTGTTCAGATAACAAGTTAGTACAAGTTTATTTTGGTGTAAAAATTTTTTGAAGTTTATGTGTTGTTTTTTCATAGAATACATTTTCTGTGAACTTTGTGAAATCATTTATATATGTGTAGACAGAAAATAGTCTGGATCAATATCTAAACAGTTGTCTCCATAGGGTAGCATTATTAGAACATTGGCCAGCCACGTGGTGTGGTGGATAAGTTGTGTGGATGCCACATGGCCAACTGCATGACTGAAGTCCTGAAACTGGAAGCTTGAAGAACATGCCGACATGTGTGCATATATACGCGTGCTCAAAATCCCAAGACAAGAATGGAGGGATTGAGTCATAGTCATCCCTCCTGGGGGCTGCTTTCTCATTTTCTCTCTTTCTCTCTGTCTCTCTTCAGTGAGCATGTGTGGCCTATATCAAATTAAGAAAGAGAGAGAGAACATTAATTTTTTTCTTTATCTGCTATTTTTTTAAAGAACTATTTTATTTAACTTTGTTTGTTTATTTATTTATTTTAATTTGACCAGAAAGAGTGAGAGAGAGAGAGGGAAAGTGAGAAAGCAAGCCTCCAGGTGCAGGACTTGAACCATGGTTGGCCATGTGGGAGTCCACTGCCCTTAACCACCACACCACTTGCTGGCACCTTTTCTGCTATTTTTAATGTATTTGTGTTGATTGATTGTTTTCCCTCCCCTTTAAAAAACAAGACAAAACAAAACAAAAAAAAACCAAAAAAACAATGGGCAAATGTGGATCTTTTATAATTAGTAAATTAAGTCTTTGGGGAAAATTTTTTTTTTCAGTCTTTCATGTGATTTTATTTTCTTCCTTCAACCATGATAATATGATATCCAGATTTTGTCCTAACCGGTGGGTCTGTAAACACAGACTTAGCCATCCCACTGACAGGCAAGGCAAATGCTCCTTCTTTAAATGGTCCCACCATGGACCTTCTGGTCATGCAACCCAAGTTGCCCCCTTGCCAGGCTTTATCTTTACTATATTGTGTGGCCACTTCATTGAATCTCTTTCTAGACTTTAGCTTTTCTATGGCTTCTATAATTTTGCTGTTTTTCACATAGAATGTATCTGACCTTTAGTGTAGTGCCACCACCTTCGGGACCTTGAGCCTTCTTGTCAGCACTATCACTCCCAGATGCTGCTTCCACTTTTTCCTTTGAGCGGCATCTTTAAGACTTGCTGATGAACATTTAACCACTCTGGTGTCGTACAAGCAAGCCTCTTCAGGCCCCAAATCCTGTTGTTTTTTTTTTTTTTTTTTTTTTAGAGGTTTTTGCTTAAGGGTATGTGCCG